GAGCTGCAGTGAATATTTTGTAAGTGCCAGGCCTGTGTGGTTGAGAAACTTCCCTGCAACTCTGGGTTTTACGGCCTCAGAGTGATGGATGAAGCCGTTGTTGGCACTTCTTGTTCGGGGGTTTTGTGGTTTTTCGCAGAAGCCAGAGGAACAGCGGCTTCCTGGATGCCATCAGTCAGGAGGGGAGACGCTTCCCAGGCAAAGAGGGTTCGTGCCCCTTGTTCGGGGTGGTGGTGGATGCAGGGCCATAATGAAGCCCCCAGAAGATTCCCTGGGTTGCTGGGGGCGTTTGGCACACAGGGCCCCATTGGGGTTCTTGGAAATCCCGTTGCCTTTCAGCTGAACCTCTTTGGTGGGGGGAGAAGCGAGCAGAAAGGAAGGAAGACTGTCAGAAGAAGGGGAGAAACCTACAATATTTTTGGCCTCTGATGTTCTGGGAGCTTAAAGTCTGCCTCTTTTAATCTTTCTGGGAGGCTGCCGGTCTCGCCTCTTGTGCAGTGGTTAAGTGTGCGGACTCTATAATCTGGGAGAGCTGGGTTTGATTCCCAACTTCTCCACTTGCAGCTGCTGGATGACCTTGGGCAAGCCATAGTTCTGTCAGAGCTGTTCTTGAAAGAGCAGCTCTTGGAAGAAGAAGAAGAGGTTGGATTTATACCCCGCCCTTCACTACCCAAAGGAGTCTCAGAGCGGCTTACAAACGCCTTTCCCTTCCCCTCCCCACAACAGACACCCTGTGAGGTAGGTGGGGCTGAGAGAGCTCTGACAAAAACTTCTCTTTTTCAAGGACAGCTCTGACAGAGCTATGGCTTGCCCAAGGTCATCCAGCAGCTGCATGTGGAGGAGTGGGGAATCAAACCCGGTTCTCCCAGATTAGAGTCCGTGCACTTAACCACTACATCAAACTGGCTCTCTCAGCCCCACCTACTTCACAGGGTGTCTGTTGTGGGGAGGGGAAAGGAAAGGAGTTTGTAAGCCGCTCTGAGACCCCAAGTGAAGGGCAGGGTATAAATCCTGTCTCTTCCTCCTGCTCCTCCTCTTCTTCTTCTTTTTGTGGGCATCATCCCCCCCCCCGTGTGCCAGTCCTGAGCACCTCCTGGCATTTCTCAGACCCCCAACAAGGGAAGGGGGCTGAAGGTGGAAGCTCCGCTTTTGTGCTCTGCCCAACCTCCTACCTCTCCTCCGCCCCATTTTGTCTGTGCTCCCCTCATCCTGCACACCCTGCCAAGGACACTCTGCAGGGTGCTGGGTTCGACTCGACTGGCTTCTTCGGTGGTGCAAAAGGCAAGAGGGGAACCACCCCAAAAAGGCGGTGCTGGTAAACATGAGACCTATGTGGGTCAGAGCCACCTGGGATGGGGGTAAAAATAAGGAAGATAATTGGGTGTGATGAAGCTGAGAGCCCGCTGGGTGTGGTGATTGAAGTGTTAGGCTAGAGTCTGGGAGGCCCAGGTTCGAATCCCCGCTCACACCATGGCAGCTCGCTGGGTGACCATGGGCCAATCACACACCCTCAGCCTAGCCTACCTCACAGGGTTGTTGTGAGGATAAAATGGAGGAGAAGAGAGTGATGTAAGCCGTTTTGGGTTCCCATTGGGGCGAAAGGCGGGATATTAATAAAGTAAATAAATCAGTAACCTGTCAGTGTTCCCTCCGAGCTGAGTGAGTGCGAGCCAGCTCACAGTTTTTTTAGCCTCCGGCTCACCCATTTTGGTCTTGGCTCAGGAAGGATGGCTCCAGAGCAAACTAATTTCTGCCGCAGCCCAATCACACGCTCACAGATTTAATGCCGGTAGCTCACAAAGGAGAATTTCTGCTCGCAAGACTCCACAGCTTAGAGGGAGCAGGATCCAACCCTTTGGATGCAGTGACTGCATGTTCCCCCTCAGCTTAGCATCCCAGTGGTAGTGGAGGAGTTAAACCAAGCAGTTGGGGACAAGGCCGGTGGCATCCCACCCATCCCCGTCCCCTTCATCTGTGTTGCTAGCCCCGCACTGTGTTCCAAATCTGGGGGCACCAGAAGTTCCCGCAGCTTCTGTCTTTCCCCAGGGTCCCTGAGCCATGCAAAGTTTCAGGGTGGAGTTTTACAGAATTACAAAACTGTCCTGTTTTAGGAATGCCTGTGTGTGTGTGGGGGGGGAGAGGCATTTGTGAGTTTCCTGCATTGTGCAGGGGGTTGGACTAGATGACCCTGGAGGTCCCTTCCAACTCTGTGCTTCCAACTCTGTCATCTCGCCCACCCAGCAGTTCGAAAGCTTAGCAAGTAGATAAATGGGTACCTGCCTTAGGTGCAGGGGGGCACCCGCATTCTGGTGGAGCGGCGACAACAGGGCGATCCAGCGGAGGATGACAGAGGATAGCGGCGAAATTCAACATCGAGCAGGCGAGAGTTCCGAGCGGGGATTGGTCCGGAGACACGGCGATGCAGCGGCACAGCACGGCCGGAGCCAACCAGGACGGAGGACGGTGCAGTGATTGTCGCATAGTCGCAGACAAAGGAACTGCTCCAGAGGGAGCCGCTGCGGAGCCGAGCCAAAGTCGCCCACCGCGTGGAGTCAGAGGAGAAAAAAGAGCCGCTGGAAGAACAACTAGCCGGTAGGGTGCCTGGTAGGCACTCACCTTCCCCGATTATCGTGCGGCCCTAGTTAGGAGTACTAATAAGTCATGTAAACCGCTCAGAGCCTCCGGGATAGAGCGGTATAGAAATCGAAAGTTAAAATAAATCTGAGTTGGCAGGGCATACATAGATTGGCAGACGATACCACTCCAATGGCAGAAAGTGAAGAGGACCTGAAGAGCTTTTTGCTCAGGGTAAAAGAGGAGAGCGCAAAAGTGGGCTTGGAAACCAACATCAAAAAAACTAAGATCATGGCATCCGGCCCCATCACTCTTTGGCAAATAGAAGGGGAATTCATGGAAGCAGTGACAGACTTCACGTTCCTGGGAGCCAAGATCACTGCAGATGGTGACAGCAGCCATGAAATTAAGAGACACCTGCTCCTTGGGACTAGAGCGATGGCAAACCTAGACAGGCTAATAAGAAGTAGAGACATCACTCTGCCAACAAAAGTCCGTATGGTCAAAGCAATGGTATTCCCGGTAGTAATGTATGGCTGCGAGAGTTGGACGATAAGGAAGGCCAAGCGTCGAAGAATAGTTGCTTTCGAATTATGGTGCTGGAGAAGACTCTTGAGAATCCCTTGGATTGCAAGGAGATCAAATCACAAAGAAGACGGGGACGGCAGAGGATGAGATGGTCGGACAGTGTCATAGACGCAACGGACATGGAATTAAGCAAACTCCGGATCACGATGGAAGACAGGAGGGCCTGGCGTGATGTGGTCCATGGGGTCGCAAAGGGTTGGACTCGACTATGCGACTGAACAACAACAAACAACATAGACTGGTGCCAGTCCTGAGACAGGGGTGTGTATCCGCTGCCGCCCCCATGATAATAGGTAATAGGGCTGCATTGGACAAAATGGTTCACAACTTTACCTGGATATAAATGATTGGGACTTCTGGCCTATACTGCTGTGTATCTCTCGTCGTAAGTAGGATCCTAGTTATGTGATTTCTACGTTGCTTAATGTGTCATGAATATCCATGCTCTGTTTCAGTTCCTTCTGGTGGGTCCAGACTCCTGAAATTCTAATGCACTGGTTCCTGATTGTCCCGTTTTGTTAATTGTTACTGACCCATTCTGCGTAATCCACCTTCAATTCCTGGGGACAAAGGCAAACTAGAAATAATGTATATGAGATAAATAAATGTAACCCTTGTATCCCCACAATGGGCCAGAGGTCAAGCTCAGGATCTTCTTCCCTGCCAAATGCAAAATGCAAACCAGTTTGCATTGATCCAGACCCATATAGTGTTTGGTGTAGTGGTTAGGAGTGTGGACTCTCATCTGGGAGAACCGGGTTTGATTCCCCACTCCTCCTCCACATGCAGCTGCTGGTGTGACCTTGGGTCAGTCACAAGTTCCTTCAGAGCTGTTCTCTCAAGGGCAGTCCTCGAGAGAGCTCTCTCAGCCCCACCTACCTCACAGGGTGTCTATTGTGGGGAGGGGAAGGGAATGGTGATTGTAAGCTGCTCTGAGACTCCTACTGGTAGTGAAGGGTGGAGCATAAATCCAGTCTTCTCTTCTTCTCTTCTAATTCTGAGAACTTGAAAGAGCTAAAGCCGTCTGTGATCACCGAGAAATTGTCTCCTGTTTTCAGCTATAGCAAAATGGGAGCTGTTTTGTACAGCCAAACAGTGCAGCGAGGACAGCGTCATGGTGCCCTGTGGGGTGGCGGACTGGTAGTGAAGGGCGGGGCATAAATCCAGTCTCCTCTTCCTCTCTTCTGAGAGCTTGAAAGAGCCAAAGCTGTCTGCGATCACCGAGAAATTGTCTCCTGTGTTCAGCTATAGCAAAATGGGAGCTGTTTTGTACAGCCAAACAGTGCAGCGAGGACAGCGTCATGGTGCCCTGTGGGGTGGCGGTGTTGCCCTGATGGAGATCTGTTGGTTCTGGTTGCTTATCCCAAGTGAGCAGAAATTCCTGGAGGCCGGCTGCGATTTTGATCTCTCCCTTTGGATGACCCCTTTGCCTAAACTGTTGTCCTCGTGTTTCTCAGTTAAAAAGGTAAAGGTTCCCTTGCTCGAAAGCCAGTCGAATCCGACTCTAGGGTTGCGGTGCTCATCTCCGTTTCAAAGCCGAAGAGCCAGCGCAGTCCGAAGACGTTTCCGTGGTCATGTGGCCGGCATGACTAAACACCAAGGCGCATGCTGAACTGCAGGCTGTGGAAGGTCGGTAGTTCAGCAGTTCGAGACCCGAGTGTGCCGCATGACGGAGTGAGCTCCCGTCTCTAGTTCCAGCTCCTGCCAACCTAGCAGTTCGAAAGCAAGAAATTGCAAGTAGATAAATAGGTACCACTTCGGTGGGAAGGTAACAGTTTCTCAGTTAGGTAGATTAAAAAAAGAAGCAGCACACACTAAATTTTTCCTTCTCTCCCCAGCTTTACTGCTCCTGTACGATGTCACGAACCGAGCCTCCTTCGACAACATACAGGTAAAGTCACGGCCTTGACGGGTTTTGCTGGGGGCTTAGGACCGGTGTGTGTGAAAAAAATGGGTTGCTTCCCTTCCCTTTCCGCACCTTAAGACTGGCTTCTGGAAAGAGGGGGCTGCTGGAGAGGGCAGGAATTGGAGGGGGGAGTCTTCTTTGAACTCCCAGATAGGCTTCTTTGTGTATAGGACCCCTGGTCTCTAACGGCAGGTACCAGCTTCTCACTGGAGAGAGTCCGAAGCACAGGTTTCTGGGTAGGTTTTGACCCCAGCGTCTCCTGTTTGAGCAGCGCCTGGAAGGAGAGACAGAAAAGTCAACGTGGTCTCTTTCTCTATTTGCTTGAGGACACTAGCTCTGACTAAGATAGCCACACAGGTGCTTTTTGGACCTAAGATGATGTTCTAATTCAGCAGCTGTGCATTTGGCACCAGACACACGACTTTCATCTTTAGAGGGCTCACAAACATCTTTGTCTTGTGTCTTTTGATTTTGCTGCTTAGCCTTCCTTTTCTTGGTCCAATATCAACTTATGGGTTACGTGCACCTCAATATTGTTTGACTTCTGAAGAAGGCCCCCAATAGGGCGGAAACACGTCAGGTCATGTGTATTGGCCCTTGTGTTTAGGCCACTTGTACTTTTTAACGAGGCTTTCATTGGACCCTTATTTGTTTTTAACTGTGTTTCTAATAAATACATGCATTTTTGTATATCACATCACTGGTATCCAGAGCTCTGCTGCCTCTGAAAGTGGAGGCTCTCTTTAATAATTATGAGGAGTGACCACTGATGGACCTATCCTCCACTGAATCTGTCCAATCCTCTTTTACAGGCATCCATGCTGGTGGCCATCACTACATCACCTGGCAGCAAATTCCACATTCTAGTCACTTAGTAAAGTACTTTTTGTCCATCCTGAACCTATAGCCCCTCAATTAAATTGGATACCAGTATTTTGGGAGAGAGAGAAAAGTTCCATCTACTCTCTTCCCCATGCATAATTTCCTAAGCCTCTATCATGATTCATGCCCCCCTTTCATTTGCATTTTTTTCCAGACTGAGAAGTTCCAGTCTCTTTAGCCTTTCCTTGTAGGAAGAGCTCTCCAACCTCTTAATTAACTTCATTGCCCTCTTCTGTATTTTTCCCAACCTTGCAATGTCCTTTTTGAGATATTATGACCAGAACTGCACACAGTATTCCAAATAAGACTGCAGCCTGGATGTATACAGGAGTATTATAATAACAGCATTTTTATTGTCAACCCCTTTCCTAATAAATCCCAGCCTGGTGTTTGCCTTTTTTACTGCTCACAAGCTCCGTTGACATTTTAATTGAGCTATCCAACATAACCAGGCTCCCTTTCCCTCTCAGTTTTAATAGTTTCAGACTCCCATTTTATTTATTTTATTTATTTATAAGGGAGATTGTTAACGTGTATTGTTACGTGTACCTCAATGTTGTTTGACCTCTGAAGAAGGCCCCCAATAGGGCGGAAACGCGTCAGGTCACGTGTATCAGCTCTGGTGTTCAGGACACTTGTACTTTTTAACGAGGCTTTCATTGGGCCCTTATATGTTTTTAACTGTCTTTCTAATAAATGCATGTATTTTTTGTAGGTTATAAGTTTCAACTAGGTTTTTAATACTGGCCCTTTATTAGACTTCCTTCTTATCCTTGTGGTTCTTGATTCCAGTTTTTGGGTCAAGTTGTATTTTTCCCGCTCCCTGTTTCTTCCTCTTTCCCCCTCCCTCCCGCAAAGCTCATTTCCTCTCCTGGGGGGCTGTTTAAATATCAGATCACCCGCCTCGGGAGGACGGGGTTAAGCACTTCCTTCCCCGTCTTCCGACAGTTGTTTGGGAGCTGCTAACTGGGTTAAAAACCAGCCGTGAAAGACCCTAATCGCTGGTCTCTGGGCCGCTTCCTCCTCCTTAAGATTGAGGCCGACAAAACCAATCAGATAAGGAAGGAAGAAAAAAATAGTTCTGAGGTTTCCTGGCTTCTCTGGAACAGCCCAGACGACTCGGGGGTGTGCTTAATTGTTTCTCACAGCCGGAAACCGGGCCCCGCTTCAGCCTCAGTGTGCCAGGTCTTCCTCGGCCCCGATACCTGCTTCAGGCGTGCACGGGGAGTGGGGCTGTAACCGAATTTCTTGGCGGGCACGAGAGATGCGGCAGAACAGCGTGAGGGGAAGGGGCCACAGCAGAGAGGCCTATGCCGTACGCACAAGGTCCTGGGTTCGACCGCCGGTGTCTGCAGTTGCAGATTTCTAATAGGAGGGCTTGGAAAGGCCTGAGCGCTGGGGGAGTGGCGGCCAGTTGGAGCAGACAAAACTGGGGCATGGGGAGGGGAGGGAGTCCATAGCCTGGCTCCCTTCTTAAGTCACACAGCCTTCCCGGACGGTTGCGCCGCTGCTTTTTTAGTTAGGAAGCTCTTCCTACTGCGACATCGAAATCAGCCTTCCTGAATTTTAAAAACAGTGGTTCTTTCTTGTGCGGTCCCCAGCGATGGCGAACCTAAACAGCATGATAAAAAGTAGAGACATCACCCTGCCAACAAAAGTCCGCATGGTCAAAGCAACGGTATTCCCAGTAGTCATGTATGGCTGCGAGAGTTGGACTATAAGGAAGGCCGAGTGCCGAAGAATAGATTCTTTTGAACTATGGTGCCGGAGAAGACTCTTGAGAGTCTCTTGGACTGCAAGAAGATCAAATCAGTCAATCCTAAAAGAAATCAACCCTGACTGTTCTCTGGAAGGCCAGATAATGAAACTGAAGCTCAAATACTTTGGCCCCCCAATGAGAAGGGAGCCCTCACTGGAGAAGACCCTGATGCTGGGAAAGATTGACGGTCAAAGAAGACGGGGACGGCAAAGGATGAGATGGTTAGACAGTGTCATAGATGCAACGAACATGAAATTGAGCAAACTTCAGAGGACTGCAGAAGACAGGAGGGCCTGGCGTGATCTGGTCCATGGGGTCGCGAAGAGTCGGACTCGACTGTGCGACTGAACAACAACCCCAGCTGATAGGAGCTCTACTACCAACCTTATTGGCGAGATCCCGTCCTGTTGAGGGGAAGTCAGGGAACTGCAACTTTTCCCCAGCATAATGTGACTCAGTGTGTTGAGTACGTTTCCCTTGCTCCCTTCCTTGGTCACGAGTTTGAATCCTGGCTTACTAAAAGGGGCTGTTCCCTCTAAGATATGGAATCCTGTGAGCAACGGTTCTACTTTCTGAGCGACTGGCATTAAAGCTGTGAGCAGGACATTTGGCGACTGCATAAGTTAGTTTGCTCTGGAGCCCTCCTTCCTGAGCTAAGACAACAATGTGTGAGCTGGAGACTAAAAAACTGTGAGCTGGCTCACATTAACTCAGCTTAGAGGGAACACTGGCTGGCACAATATGTGCAGCTGCTAGGAAAAAGGCGAATTCTACATTGGCCATAATTAGAAGGGGGAGAGAGGATAAAATTGCCGCTATCATACTGCCCGTATACAAATCTCTGGTGAGACCACACTTGGAATTTTTGTGTTCAGTTCTGGCTCACCGCACCTGAAAAAAGAATATTGTAGAGCGTGAAAAGGTGCAGAAAAGAGAGACCAAAATTATCAGGGGCGTAGAGCAGCTGCCCTATGAGGATCGGTTAAAACACAAAGGGCTGTTTCGCCTGGAAAAAAGGCAAATAAAGGGAGACATGACAGAGGTTTATAAAATTATGCAAGGCATGGAGAGAGTGGACTGGGGGAAATTGTTCTCCCTCTTCCAGAATGCTAGAACCCAGGCCCATAGCTATGGTGGGGCTGGGGGGGGCAGCTCTGCCCCCTTTTTTAAAGGCACAGCCCCACAAGAATTTCTCCTGTAAATGCTTTTTTCCAATAATTTTAAAACATTTTTTTAAAAAGTGTGCGCTCCTTTAAGCAGAGTGGGGTGCTGAAGGTTGACTAATTCCAGCACTGAGCAAGGGGGTTGGAGTAGGTGACCTCTAGGATACCTTCTGACTCTGTGTCAAGAAACTGGTCTTCTTCAAGAGAGTTTTCCTGCCTCAGTGTTGGCTTTCCTGACTACAGATCACCCCCACCTGCCGGCTTGTTATCAGAACTGTTGCTTTGGCTGGCAGAAGTGATTAACTTGCAGCAGCTGAGAACTGTCATCTAAAGTGGCTGGCAGCTTGCAGTTTAGAGGTCTGTCCTGATCACAGCTTTCTATTGGCTCAATGGCTTTTCGTTCTGCACTGAGAACTTCAGTCCCACCAGAAGATAATTTGCCCCACAAGCCACAAAATCCTGGCTATGGGCCTGTACCAGGGTCACAATCCTAAACAGCCATGCTACGCACATCCTCTTGACTCTCACAGTAGCCAGTTCAAGTTGGGAAGTTTTGGTGTAGCGACTATCATTGGGGTGTTCCGAGAAGGTGGGGCCTGTATATTTTTGCAGTTCTGAGTAGGCCTTTAAAGGACGCCCTGGTTTTGCAGCGTGTCAAAATAAAATCTAGCTATGGAGGTGCTAAAATCTAGCTGTCGAAGTGCTATTGTCCAGCATCTGTGATGTCATCCACCCAATTCCTGGTGCTGTTCTACAGTGTTAAGAAAAGTGGTGTTCTCTTTTTGGTTGACACTGGAGCTGTCCCCTGGGGGAAAAAAGCAGGACTCGCATTAGTGTCGTTAAAATATGGGCTATCTTGTCTCACTTTGGGGACCTCTCCATGCCCGCTGGCACAGGTACGACTCACCCAAGCCCCTCGTGGTGCGTTTTCAGCTCTTCCCGCGTCAGCGCCTCGCGGGCTGGGCGCCCAGGCGCTGCGTAGTCGATCTTCCGCCGGCATTTCATTATGCAGATTTCCCTGGCACCGCGCGGCGTCTCTGTTTGTGAAGAGAACGCTAGATGTTTGTCAAAGGGGGCTAATAATTACAGCGCTCTCTCCCTGCTCAAATAAAAATAAAGAATTAGACATCTGCCGGCTTAAATATTTTTCAGCTCTGGAATGGAAGTTTATCCTCTCGGAGG